GTAAACTCACAGCGTTTACGACTCCCGTAAAAATACGACGACTGTAAACGACTATCGAACAAAGTCGTAAGTCATCGTATACGTCAGTGGTAAACGGTTCAATCAACGTTCATCGTTTCTTGACATATTTTGTCGTAAACGGCCGTTGTCGTCGACGACCTACTCTTTTTAAATGTAGCAACGGTTCCATGAATTCGACTCTAATAGACCTCGGATTCCAAATAATGTTTTTCAAATGTTTCGAAATTAGAAGAAGGAAGTTATACCCAAGTGCGGATCATATGCATCAGAAAACTTATCCTATTATTGCATGCCTGAAAGGCAGTATTGAATCCCGATTACTTTCCACAAATGTATTTTATACATTATTGCAGTTCAAATTTTCATATGCGTGTTCTCTCCCAAATATCGAAAACTAGTTTTTACTGCTGTCCTACCAGTTGTATCCTTACTTCGATTAATTTAAGCGTGCTGCTTACAAATATCATAATTTTTTCAAAATTATTAAGATAGAAAGAAACGTTCGGAGACCTTTTTGAAAGTTTTGAAAAAATATTTTTGACCTTCAGATCCCTTGAAATTCGCTGTACTAAGGTGACACCTATCGTTCGACGTCGTACTGGGTGTTCTGATACGTATTTTGGATTAAGAGATAAAAAAGTGAATACTTTTTCTTTAAAAAAATCTTCAACAGGCAGTTAAACTCTAAAATTTCAAAACATGTAAGCGGAGTTTAGGTGCTCTTTATATAAAATTTTTAAAAAACTCATCTACTTCTTTTTCTAGTAAACGTTAATCTTACTGTTGGTACTATCTTTTTAACAAAGTAGTGTTCATCTTACATTTTGTGACATTTACATTTTTGAATCTATATAGAATGAACGAAGAGTTATTGTTGGCAATGGAGAAGGCCGAAAATAGTCATCAACAACGCCGTTCATTAATAAACGATGTTTCTCGTAAACAAACAAGCATAAATCTAGTAGAAGGCCTGTCTTCCTATGCTGTTGTGAAACACACAAGTTTTGCTGATTGTACTTCTACAATCAGAGAGGTAGAAAACGCATCAGAGGCAATAGATGAATTTGATGGCAATTCCGGCATTGACGTTGGCACGTTTTTATTTGAAGATTGTGATCAGAAAATACTAGCTGATGATTCTGATGTTGATGAACTAGATGAAACTTTGTTTTTATTAAAGGAACTGTTCTCGACAAAAGATGAAAAAGATTCTGTAGCATTGCACTCGTACACAAATGTATCAATTGATGACTTTTGTACATCTCTTGTTACTGTTTTTCGGCAAGCGAATCTTTCCAAAACATATTCATCAAATATCCTTCAGCTAATCCATTCCGTTCTTCCCCAACCTAATCACTTGCCAACATCGGTAAACAATCTTCTCAAATATATTCAGGGTAAATTCTGTTTTTTTTAATGAAGGACAAGTAGCTATAAGGTCATTTTTTTATTGCCTCATGAATAAATTTAGTTTAAAAGGCAAATATATGAAAGCAATCAATAAAGTAGCACAATTTTTGAAAAACTCGATATTATTTAATTGATTCGACGTTTCTATCTTCTATGAGTAGTATTCAACTTCATAGTACAAGTTCGTGGTATTCTTGAAAATGATTTTTTAGTAGATCAAAATGTCGAATTAATTCAATTATATCGGGTTTTCCAAAATTTTGCGACTTTATTCATTATATTCGCTTATTGCTCCATTTTTTTGATAAAATTATGTTTAGAAATCATCAATAACTTCTGAAAATAGTACAGTATTTTATCTATTGCCCACATAAAGAAAATGTTTGGCTCTGATCTTTGGCGAACTTTTAAAATTTTTNGAGCGAATAATGGAGAAGGTAAAACAAAAACCTTGTGGAGCCAACAGAGTAGTGTCACATATCCAAGATTTTGGAGATGCCACCGCATCTCCCACGGGAGATGCCGCATCTCCAGCGGGAGACGCGGCACCCACACTCGGGAGATGAGGTCATTCACCACTGGAGATGTAAGATCTCCTTTAGAGAGACGCATCCCCCACACCCACACTCGCATCTCTCGCACGAGATGCGGCATCTCCCGCAGAAGATGTGGTGGCATCTCCAAAATCTTGGATATGTGACAGTGCTGAAAAGCCTCCTAAATGTGCCATGTAATCAATTACTGGAACAAAAGTACATCCAATATTGAATTTATTGCCTGAACTTTTCTCTTCAGACGAGTGAAACTAAGCAAGATACTGATTATTGAAGGAAGTTCATCATACTTGCAGTAAATAATAATGTATGAAAAATTCTGAGGAGTAACATATTAATCAGCTTTCGTATTTAACGCGTTTTCATGATTAAAATTGTAACATTTTTAATCGTTAAATCGTTAAATTTTTAACGAATTTTCATGTCACAAAGTTTCGTTAAATTAGCAAAAATTTTTACATGGGTAGCGTCACACAGAATATGAATAATCGTGATTTCATACCGTCACCCACTCTATTTGCACATTGTCTTTTATCGGATATCACACGTCATTCGTCATCTATTCATGTAGGTCTGATTTTCATTTTTTTTTCAATTATTTTTGCCTCTGTCGACAACGTCATTCAAAACTTCAATTCACCAATGATTCATCCGTAAGAAGGAGTCAGGTGAGGGCTAAATCAACAAAATCAAAACATCAACTGGTCGCATCCCACTTCAGCCACATATGTTTTCTCTTATCTCAGATAAATCGATGCTTGGTTTCTTTTACATAGTCAGAAATCATTTTTTTGCGTTCGGGAGAAAGCTTCTCAGTATGACTTGACTGTAAGAATTTCTTCAAAGTCGATACTGATTATATATATTTCTCAAAATGTTCTCATCCGTTCTCGGATGCTTTAGGTAGATTTGCATCGAACAAAGATTTCGGTTCTTCAAAACAAAATGCCGTAAGATCAATATTCATCGCCTTTTTAACACTTATTCTTTATTCTCCGTTAGTAAGGCGTCGATTTCTTCATTGATTCATTAAAGACTCAGAATGATGAATCATCGACTGTTAAGAAAAGACTACGACAACTGTTTATTGCAACTCATAAAATTGAAAACTATCGAGTTCGTTGAATCAAAGATCGATACTGCAGTCAATGTCTATCACGCAGACTTTTCATATTTGACAGTAGAATTGTATTGAGTTAGTAAGGCTCTTGAAATACGTTTGTAATTCCTTGAAATTCAGCCTTCGCCAGCATCAGTGGCATCCACCGTGACTTTTCATCGATGTCTATTTGAAGATCGATGTGTTTTATCAGTAGCATGAATGTTGATTAGTATGACCATATAGTTACATTTGTCTTCAAAATATCAACTTTCTCTTTTCATCATTTTGTTACTTGTTCATGTCATAACACAACTGTAGAATAATCTTGAGAAGAGACAAAAAAGAAACGACATCGAGACTGATAGCTGATTCTGATCATAAACACATGATCATGATATCCCGTCTAATCTGATGAAAAACTATCGATCAAATTGAATAGTGGTCTTTCTGTTCTTCCTGTACTCGAATTGATTGAATATCACTAACGAATCAATTTCTAATTTTAGACTTAGAATGAAATTGGGAAATTAGACTTCAATATGGCGAATGCATACAATAACAACGAAGAGACTGATGATAGTTCATCAGACAATGTGCACAATGTGTCATGTGATGGGTGTAATTCAACGAAAATCTATAGTGATCGATACAGATGTTTACAATGTATTGACTATGATCTATGCGGTAATTGTTTTGAGGAACGACGTCAAACGAAAGAACATCTCAGTGGTCATGCGATGGCACATCTAAAAATTCCCAATGAATTATTCGGTCAACAAATTCGTCATTCTAAGGATATAACTCTGACAAAAATTCAAGAACTCCTAGCTGGTAAACATCACGATATCGTATGTAATGGTTGTCGAACATCGATTGTGAGCGTTCGATTCAAATGTGATACTTGTTACAACTATAATCTATGTTCTCAATGTATGAAACAGCGAGTGACCAGCAAGCAGCATCAGAACATGCATCCATTAGTAGCAACCAGCAATCAAAGTCTGACGAAAATCGATATCAGCGACATTCGCAAGGGAAATGTACTCGGCCAAGGAGCATTCGGTATATTGATCTGTGTTTTCTATCCATAACGTTTTCTATCGAATATTCTCATTTATGTAGGTCAAGTTTGTAAAGCAAAATGGTTATCAAAAAATCGTCAAGTAGCTTGTAAAGTGATTCGAGTGATACCACAACGACGTCACTTGGAAGAGAGTTTTCGCAAAGAATTAGCTGCCTATGTCGAACTATCCGGCGCATTTATTCTTAAAACATTCGGTTATGGTGATCGAATGCTAGACAATGGGATAAAAGAGTGTTACTTGATTACTGAATTTATGCATCGTGGTAGTTTAGCTGATGTAATTCATAATCGAGATGAGAAAATCTCACTTCGACGTAAACTCTCCATGGCCTGTCATATTGCCAGTGGCATGCGTAAATTACACGCACACACGATGATTCATCGGGATATTCGTCCCGATAATATCCTTGTATCGAATAATTTTACAGCAAAGATCGGTGATATGGGCATTGCACATATATTCAATCCAGACGAACGCCACACACTGATTGGTTGCTTGCCTTTCATGCCACCGGAATTCCATCGGTCAGTAGGAGATAAAAGAGAACTTGATTTGCTTTGACAAACATTTCAATTGCTGCTACTCTGTTTATTCTAGTGGCGATGGCCAATATGATCAATCACTAGATGTGTTCACCTATGGATTGACATTGAATGAACTATTTACAGAGAAAGTTCATCGATTTAATCAATCGACCAAGCATGTTCAATTAATCGAACAAAGTCCAATTTTCATCGATTTGATCCTTCAATGTATTCAAAATGACTCGACTCGCCGACCAACTGCTATCGAATTGGAAGATATTCTTCGTAAGTATCGACAAGCAACGGATCGATATATCAAAGAAAAATGTCCCAATTATACAAATCAAACAATAGCAACAAAAGATAGTATTTTTGTTCGTTTCTATAATGAATACTACCAGCAGGAGAAAGTCAAACCGAAAGCGGTTTTTTCGCCACCACCCAGATCACATGTGAATTTGGGTCTAATTAGACAACATTTCGAAGATATGATGAAGCAGTCCAGTAGTGTTCATGAAAAAGATGCCGATCGTAACAAAGATCGGCCCGAGTTGGTGAAATTGAAAAAATATCTGGATAATCCAAGCCCCACGCCTGTTGCTGAGCCCATTAAAAAAGATCGACGACCATCAACACCAATATCAAATTTTCATCGAATCGAACAAGTGCATCATCAACAATTTATTCGTGTCGTCAAACATCAACGATCGCGGACGCCCATTCCAATACCTCCCCATCTCAATGATCCACTACATGATCAAGATTTTTTCCATATGCCAGATCGATTTAGAGCATTCGGGGCTGATCACAATATCGAACAACGTATGCGACGACTGTGTCTCGAAGTAGGCGTCGATCAGCCATCGCCCCATTTTGATCAGATCATGCGAAAATTCAAATAGACATTTGATGGCAGCCCAACGATAATCAGTAGGTTTTTTCCACTTATTTCAGATAGTCTCTTCTTGTTGATTATCATCAGTTTATTCGAAATAAAGAACAAATTCAAATCTTGCAAACAAAATGTAATTCTTTCATGAATCCCTAAGGTAAGAGCCCACTGCGATGTGTTACTGCTTTCAAGCAGAAAAGTATTGCTCTGCTTTGGCGCACTCAGTAGTATAAAAAGTCATTCGAAAGATAGAATGCAGTAACAATGGCCGTGTTAATAACTTTGCAGAAAATCACACGCAACGGTAACAAATAGACATACACCAAGCCTAAATATTCGGCTTCGAGTTCTGTTAGACTTGGATTCGATTCGAGTCGTTTTGATCCGATGAGATTCAGGTTCGATTAGGTTGACAAGCAAGATTCAAAAAGATTCGTTGGATTAGACATTCAAAGAAGAGTAATAAGAATAAAAACGGACCGACTCCGGAACCGATCGAATTCGAATTCATTAAGATTCGGACTTGGTACATGCCGGGTGAGGGCACAGAAATAATCATGTTTAGACTGACGATTTCTTATGGCAGCCAATAGATAGCAAAAATCTTCATCTTTAACTTTTTCATGTACAACGAGGGTGTCATGTAACGATGAAAAAAAAGTTCGAATCTGAATCTAGATCTGTGGATGTGGGGTGCGTGAGTGTGGGTGTGGACGTAAGTGTAAGTTTCACCCAAACCCCACATCCACCCTTGAAGTATTTCGACTTTGACATTGCCAATCATCGTCTCAGATAACATTGACTGAATGTTGCAAGAGATGTATATTGTTTAATAACCGAGATGATCTTTATCTTATGTGCAATACAGCACATGATATTACCTGACTTCATTTTCGAGATAGATCGAGATCTTACGAGATACAAAGATCATTTATTCTCGCTTTTTGTAATATTGGCAGACTGTTCCGATTGATCATAATCATATTCGATTTAGTTGTGTTACAAGAATAATATTTTACGAACTTTTCGTTCGACTTCGACTATCTCGATCGCATTTGAACGAAAGTCAAACACATGTCGAAACATATTTTCGGCATCGTCAATCGATCAGAAATGGTCGATAATGCATAAATCTATTGTATTTTTTATCTTAGTATACCAAATATTTTTTTGTATCCCACAGATACTGAGCAGATCTGTGCAGGTCTCCTTTCGAATCGACTTGCAGGAAGTCGAAAATTACTATAAACAGTCAAGAAATTATGGCCAACAAGTAGAGGATACTTCAATTTACTTTTCTTTTTGCTCAATTTTCTGATTGAAATCATTAAAGTTGGCCTCTTGGATGATGACAAAAGTATAAATAAAACTGATCGTTTGTTTTTTCATTGTCTGACATATGATTCTTGCTCTCATCTATATAAACATATGAAATCGATCCAAATTAGTTATAGATTTGATCGCCATAACAGTGATGAATTCTTCTTTAGTAGGTACATCTATAGAAGTCTACCTAAAAATCTTTTGATTTTTTTGCTCTCATGTCTACTCATTCTATAAAATCTATTGAAGTTCTTGGACGTTTTCTCCGCTTTTTTTACATGTACTGTATATACATAGTTGCACACTTTAAATGCTATCATTATTTAAAAAAAGAACATAAGATGGCATATTGTTGTGCACGATTGCTTCCAAAAGAAGGAGAAAGGAGGCCGTTTAAACTTTGTTTGTTTTCAATAATATTTCAGAAACAAACTTTGTATGTGAAAAAGTACAAGTGTTAACACATTTCAAGCGTACGTTCTTACACCAAGGCCCTATTTTCTTGTGAATTTTTGCCAAAATCTTAATTAACTTCTTGCTCGGTAAAATATATTTATTTCGAGAAGTTCAATTCAAATTTCGTCACTGGGATTCAATTCATTTATGTATTGCTACGCAGCAAATCATTCAAAATCGAAAATATGCTGTCACTCTATCTCAGGCTGATTGTTCCAGCCTGGCTTTTCTTGAGCTTTCATGCATCGATTGTTGCATCCACATGCGGGTCGACAGCATTTTTCGTCTGAAGCACAGTGACGGTCTTTTTTGCAGCAGTGCGGATCACTCGCACACATCTTAGCAGCCGAGTCAGGCGAACAGACCATATGGCATATCATGTGAGGGATTGGACAGTAACCTAGAAAGATCTAATCTCTATCATCTTTTGTAGTCGTGAAAGAGCTCACCTGCATGCTCGTTTTGCAATAGCCTCTTTTTGAGTGCTTGAATTCCAGCACATAAGAGTACGAGAAGCAAGAAGAAAGAGAGAAAACGCATCGTTTAAGTAATATAGTTGTCTTTGGAGTATGACAACAAGAATGGGCAAGGCTCTATTGATATATATATATATATACAGATATACATCTGTTTTTGTTTCCCTTCATTTTTAGCACAATATCAAACATTGATTTTATCAAGCGCAATTTCTTTTGCTTATTATTATTCGTAAGGGAAAAAGAAGAAAAACGAGTGACTACACCATTTTTCTTTCAGCGGGACACATATCAAGAATAAGCTTATGTTTCTAAGCTAGATAGAAAAATTCGATAGTACTATATAGTGCATAGGCGACGGATTGATTTGAAAACGGCTAGACGTGATTCAAATTATGTTTTGCTTCTCTTCTTCGACCTCAAGCAGAATCAAATCGCATATTGCTTGTCTTGAGCAGGAAAAAGAGTGAGTTTTTATTTTTATTCTTCAACACAGGACCAGCATAAATTTCATTGAAGTGAAGAGAATTTTTTCTGCTTGTATGGATGGATCAACAACAGAAATGTTCAGACGCGTTTTTTGTCGTTGTGAATCGGAAATGTGTCTTTCTTTGATTTATCATCGGAAAAGATCCTTCATCACTCATAGAAAGAGTTTGCGTGCTAAACGATGATGTCAGTATCGACAAAAAGTACAATTTCGTGGTAATGAACCTTTAAAAAAGGATGCATAGTTACTTAGACTTTTTTCAAGCATCAAGAAACAACACACGCACTGTCTTAATGATATACTTTCATGAAAAAGTTTCATTAACGAGCTTAAAGTCACACAAACACATGAAGACACATAGCTACATAAGCATGCAAATATAGAAACATAAAAGCGTTTTCATTTCATATTATTCTTTCTTCCGTCGAGCGAACAATGCAACGAAAAAGACGGCGAACACATTTGTAGAAGCATCAGTTTGTTTGCATAGAAAATGATTAGGATGGGAGAAATATTTCAGCATCTTATCCCATACGAGAAAGTGTTCTTTGTTTTGCTTCTCTCATTTGACCAGCATATGTCAACATATATTTTTATTGCAAGTGAAAATCTGCCAGTTATTATATTTTTGTGCCATTGTTGAGTTTGAAAACAGAAAATAGCATCGAATATACTATCGGAAAGTTGGAAAGCTACAATTGCCGGTATTTCCCTGTCTATTACCGTCACTTAACCAGCCCAAACAATAAGTCTGCCGAATTCACAAGCGCATATTTCAAAAGCGACACAGCGTGATACTACTTACGCTTTGATTGATGGTTTTAGCAGTGAAGACGAAGCAAATAGGATGTGACTGTGGTGGGTGTAGATGTGGGAATCAGTGTGTGGTGTATGGGTACGGGTGGTTTATATTCTCACACTCACACCCACGCCGGTCCTCTCGAATGAGATCTTTGTATTCGTATTGAATGAAGTACCTAAAGATATTTGGCTTGACTTGAATTACAATTTTCGGATAAATGACACTTCTCCGTTTCGACTGGTCGATTTTTTCCCGTTAAGCTTGACCATGACCAATTCTAAATGACAAAGACAAACTGACAAGACATCTAAAATTATCATTTCGGGTCAAATAACATTTATCTTGCGATCATCTTAATCAACACCGTCGAAAGCCAGTAACCAAAGGCAAAAAGAAAATGATAACGTCCGCCAATGAGATAAATCAGGACAGCATAAGATGAAAATGTATGGGAACTTCATCAAATTCCTTGCCACCAACATTGTACGAGACTGCACAGAAATTTTTCTCGTCAATAGATTTCTGTTTATCATAATATTGTTCAACTTTCTCTTCCGCCTTCTCTCTACCTTTTTCTTTGGTCCTAAACACCGCCGTTAGAAGATCTTCATGTACAGGTATTTTATGATCGAGTTCAACAATAATTCTAGAATAACAATCAACTTAAATGATGCTCGATTGATTCCTCGGACTACGATTAGATATTGCCTGCAAAGTAGGTAGTTCCGTTTGGGCTGTGGGTGATTGTGTGGGTGAAGAGAAGACACCACCGACACCCAAAAAGGAACGTGTTGCTAAAAAATTTTAGTGTTTTAGGTTTCTACAGGAGATTACTGACGTAGTACACAAATTATTCTTCAGCACCTTCAGCACATAAATGCGAGACGAGACAAAAGTATATAGGATGACAGAGAATTTCAAGCTCTATCAGAATCTATAATTCCTTTTTTTTAAAGTTATTTGTATAGTAAGTATATTTTGAAAAAAGCAAAAAAGTGGGTGTGGGTATGGGTGTAAGTGTGAGTGACAGTGTGGGTGGATGTGTGCATGTGGATGTGGGTGATCCTCAAACCATGAAAAAACTAACACGCACATGCACACCCACACGAGCAATTCTTTGCAATGAAAAATCCTGTCTTGAATGCTTTTCGAAATGCATCACATTTTCAACAAGATGTGAATAAAATAAACACTTTAAAGGTCGATTGAGTAATACATGCTCTATGAAAATATATCAAAATAATAAATACCTGAGATTTTGTATGCATCGAACAAAATGAGCCAAACTATCAAAAATAAAAGCTGTAATGAATCTTAACATCCAATATATATTTCGTCAGAACATCAGAAATAATCGATAATACAACATAATCTCCGAAAAACATATTCATAATGCGTACTGTGTTTGATTGTTCTGCAGAGAAGAGAAATGAATGATGAAAATCTGTTATCCTTTGGTCTCA